CCCCCCCCCCCCCCCCCCCCCCGTCCCTCTGGGCAGAAGCATCTTTCTCCCACTTCGGGTGTTCATTGCACCTCCCAGCTGTGCCTCTCCTGGCTGAGTGTGTGAAGCACTGTAAATGTATGAGCGATTTTCTTTCCAAGATAACTGAAATAAATGTGTGACTATAGTGAGTTGAGATAGATTAAAAAAAAAAACAAAACTCATTTGTGGAAATGACTCTTGGCTCCTGCTCTGAACTCAGGAATTCCCTGAACAGAGACCCGGCCCTGCCCATTGCCCTTTGCATGCTGCTCAGGAGCTGCCTGAATTAGAGAGAGCCCTGCTCCCAGCTTCCTTCCCCAGCAGATGGAAACACTCAAACCTCTGGATAGCTTCAGGGCAGCCTTTCAGGGGCTGATGTGGGCAATCTCTACAGCCTCACTTTTGAGAAGGGAAAGAAACTTCTGCATCTGGCACATTTTGGACTGGACAGTCCAGCTGAGTAAGCACCAAGTTTCTCCAGACCCTGACCCGATCCCCACTCCTCAACCCATCTGCATACCACCTCAGGAGACCACTAGGCTCTGGAAAATTCTCCCCAAGGCTTTGTGTTCCTGGCACAGTGCACTGCACATAGTAGGTGCTTGATTATGTACTCTCAGTCAGTTCACCCCCAGGGAAGCCCCAGAGGACCTGGCAGGCTGCTGGAGGGTAAGCTGCCGCACTTCTCCTGGGGAATCCGGGGAACCACGGGCAGGGGGCAGGACGTGGAGAACTGTGTTCCCCAAGAGGGACCCCTGCCGAGACCAGCCCCTTTTCTATCCGGCAGCGGCAGAGCAGCAAAGGCAGCAGGAACTGGAAATGAAGCTGGCCGCGGAACACGGGCGCCTGGAGGAAATGGCTGAAGAAGAGCGGCTGGAGTACCAACGGCGGCAGCAGGAGGCAGAGGAGAAAGCTCGGCTGGCAGCAGAGGAGAGGAGGCAAGAGGAAGAGGAAGCAGCAAGGCTGGCCCTGGAGAAAGCCCTGAGACAAACCCAAGAAGGAGCCAGGTACTGGGTGCGTGGGCAACAGTTACGTCCGGGGTTGTTCACCAGCTTTGCTGCCGGGTGCTGGTGCTGGCACCGCCCTCAGGCAAATGAAGTTTTCCCACCCTCCTGAGCAGTTTGAAAGAACTAGAAGACAGTCTTTCGCTACCATGTCACAGAATTTCTTCAGGGCTTACAGAACTTGTATTGAAGCTGGGAGTTCAGAGATGATCCCAGCCTCTGGTTTACAGATGAGAAAAACAAGTTCCAAAAGCAGGAAGGATCTTGATCAGGGCCAGAGGGTGTTAGGGGCAGTGCCAGGACCAGATCAAAAACACTGCCCCCTGCCCCGAGTCTGAACCACCTGCCTTTCTCAAGAAGTATTTATTGGGAACAGAGACACTGCTTTGGATACTGGGAATTCAGGCGTTAGGAAGAGCTGTCTCTTCTACCATGCCGCTTACCTGCTAGGGGAGGGGGCGGCGGGTTGGCAACATACCCTAAGCAAATCTATAATTTAGCTGGCAATAAATGCTATACAGAAAAAAATTTAAACCTCTGATAGGATTGCAGGAGCCTTAGTTTAGATTGGTTGGCCAGGGCAAGACCTCTCAGTTATATCAGGTGAAATCTGAATGACATGGACTTAGCCACATAATCATCTAGGAGAAAAGTATTTCAGCAGGTAACCCGGAAGTGCAAAGAGCCAAAGAAAGGAATGAGACTGGCATGTTAGAAGCATCAAAGAAAGTCGGAGTGGCTGGAAGGTAGTGAACAAGGCACAAAGAATACCTCCAGAGGCTGGCGAGAGAGACCCAAACCAGATCTCACAAGGGCCTCGTCAGGAGAAAAGGCACAGAACCAGTCATCAGGGGCCAGTGGCGTTCCCCCCTTTACCCTCATACAATAGTAATGCTCAGTGCGTCTTTCTGATAATAGGATCTCTTGGGTAATACCGTTTTAATCAACTCTCTAAGCTGCATCTAAGCTAATGCTCTTTAGGGGACCAGAGAGAGAAGGCAGCCAGTATTCTATTTCAAGGTTTCCCACCTAACCTTGAGTTGTTCCTCTCTTGGACTTGCCTCATCTGTTGTGTGAAGTACAAAATGGATCTTTGGTGAAATCTTGATTCAATTTCAAAATTACATATTCCACATGTCATAGCAGTAGGGCTGGATTTGTAAGTATTGAGACCAAAAGCAAGCTATTGGAGTTCCAATTTTTCACAAAAAGAAAACTGACAGGTCATCTGAGGGGCAGTTGAGCAGTTTTGTAAGGCTTCATGCAAACAGCTGAAAACTGAAAACCGAGCAGTAAAGGGATGTGTGAGTAGAGCTTCACTCCAGGGTTAGAATTTAATGCCAATTGCCTGTATTTCCTCTTCACTGTGATACTGGCTCAGGTGCTTTAATTTCTCTGGTCTGTTTTTCCCTCTAAAATAAGGGAGTCCCTTCCAGCAATACAAGTTTAAGAACTGAGAATTATGCCTTTCCTTTTGCTTTCCCAGTAGGAAGCTCATGATACTAAAAACCTCATATGTATCTAAATGAACAGAGTATGATGCAAGATGCACACTAAAATGCAAGATCAGTAGTCCCAAGTCTAATTGATCACTAAAATCCTAAGTTCTTCTACTAGCTTCTAAGGACCATTTCCAGGATGTTTAATCAGTATTGGAATTTTGGGTGGGGTTGTCTCCTTAGGCAAAAGTCTGCTTTGAGGAAACATCTTCATTTCTATCAAGAACTCCACAAGGAAGCCAATGGCCTGCAGTGGGCACACAGGATTTCCAGACCATGGGTCTACTCTTACTTCCAGTTCCTACAAATACCCAGACCTTAAGGCTAGAAGAAAACTAAAAAGTAAGTTGGGAGGTGGTAAAAGAAAGAGAAACTTCCTTCTATAATGATGTTCCATATTGAACCCAGTTAGTTCCATCTCGTCTTGTTCACCTCAACCCACACCTAACTTCATCCCATTCCCAACAATCCTCCCTGCCACGAATACCTTACTCAATCCAGTTAAACTATTCACGCATCTAAATCCTTTACCCTCTCTAGCATCACATGAATTCAATTCAGAAGCTTTGGTGCCTAAAATTGACCCAAAATTTCATAATTTGTTTGCATTTCAGGAAATTTCAGTTAGTAAGGCACTAACATAATCTTAGGCTAGTCCAAACACTTCATTTTCATTAATGTGTGAAAAAGTTGCAAGTAAATGGAAATTCTGTAATGCAGATTCTGATTTAGCTAAGAGCAGCTCATTCATATATTAAGAATTTTATTATATTCTTGATAAAGCAAAACCACATCCACTTCATCCTAAAAATCTAATGTCTATTTAAAACAAGGTAATCAATTGCTAAATGTTCATTTGAGCAATATGAGCTGCTTTGTGAGAGTAATCTCACACCCTCAAAGTATAGATTCTAGAACTGCACTGTCCAATAAACCATGTCGCTATTTAAATGTAAGTTAAAACACTCAATTCTCCAGTCACACTAGCCACAACTCAAGTGCTCAAAAACCACATGTGGCTTACTGGCTACCATACTGAACAGCACAAATATAGAACATTTTCATCATCACAGAAAATTCTATTGGACAGCACTGTTTTAGAACCCTGAAAATTAACCAATTTTAAGGTTTGCTCCCACCTGTGATTTGAAGAATAAACCACAGACGTAATTGTCCCATTTTTTTAAAATCACACTATCACTATCTAGGATTGATCATGGAATGATTATTAAAGAGGATGAAAGAGCCTCAGCAAAGATCTACAAAAGGATACCAAAGCAAGCATTATCTGAACCTGAACTTTCCCACAAATTCCCTTTGCCCTATGCTATACTTCATGCCCACAGCTGAAAAACTTAGTATTTGCAGGGGACTCCCTCGAATTTCCCACTAATGCCTGTAAGGTACTTGCTTTCTACAGGAACTGCACTTCTACAATCCAGAAGTCAAACATAATTTTGATTCTGTATTGCTGTGTTGTTGAACTTATTAGACTTGATACTTATTTTTAACTATGTTTTATGTAAAATAGCAATAAAATGACCCAAACATTGGCTATTAGTCATAGCGAATTTAAATGTCATGCACTTCTTCTCAACTTTGTTGACCCTACTTACACATTTACTCATTCATTCATTAATACTTTATCAGATGAAAAAGGAGTATCTCAAGTAATTTAACCAAGAACAGAAGAACACTCAAGGAAAACATCCCTGTCATGGAAATTACCATTACTGACTTTATTTTCTTCCTTCTTTTACAAATTTAGGATGTTGCAGTCAAGCACTATGTAAAGCGGCTACACTAAATGTTCTTGAAGCTCCTGTCCAAATCTCATATGCTATTAAATTATTGCCGTGAAAGGCCTATTTTATCAACACTACTACACTAGATAAGCACATTTTAACCATAGCAGAATGCATTGCATTTAGAAGAATCCAATTAACTGCAATCAAAATAGTTATTTCCCAGTAGCTAAGCTCTACTACCTAATTGCTGAGATCCTTCACAGATGCAAACAAAAATAAGATACCAAACTACATATTCATGTATTCTGGATAGCTCAAATAGCCTATCAGGTTTTGTTACTCGGGCCTGATACAAATATGCAACTCAGTGAATATTTTCTACAAATGGATCTAATTTCTAATCACTGTTGAATATACAGCAATGAAATAAATGCCAGGTGACGGTCTAAAAGTTCTAATTTACCTAGACTATACATGTATAATACAAATCATTTTTCAGGTAGGGCTAAATATAGGTTTATAAGGCAAGCCAATTATTTTTCAACAGGTGACCTGGTTAGGGAATTTATAACAATTTATAAAATGCATTAGAGATAGGTTTTATTTGCTCTTCTCAAATGTTCAGATGGCATTCTATTTGGGATAACACGAAACTGGATTACGTGTTTGCACAGATATACTAAATTCTGTGATTTATTAAACAGTTAAGAGGTTAGCCAGCTGGTATGCTCAATGGTTGAGCATTGACCCAGGAACTAAGAGGTCATGGCTCAATTCCTGGTCAGGGGACAGGATTGATCCCCAGTAAGGGGCGTGCAGGAGGCAGCAAATTGATGTCTCCCCTCTCTCTAAAAAAATCAATAAAAATAAATAAAACTTAAAAGGTTAAGCCCTCTAATAGAAACTAATTTGGTATTTTAAGTATACCAAATATATATATAAGATATAAGATATAAAGATTTAAATATATAAGATATGAAGAAATGAAAGAAAAATAAACAAAATATACCAAACCTTAAGCAGAGAACATTTGGTTAGAGGAAAAACTGAAATTATCGATATAAATCAATTAAGAATTTTTGACGTGCCCATTTATTCAACATGACTGGGTAAGTGTCATATATATGCACCATACAGAAATATCAAGTTTTAAAAACACACACAGAACACTGAGCATTTAAGAAGGTATTGTGGCCTTAATTCCCTAATTCAGAAGGCACTTCAGTAACTTTCAGTGCTTCAAAGTCACAATCATCACTGTACAGTACTGAAGAAAAATTTATTTGTTCCATATACAAACAATAATTTCCAGTATTATGCAAGAAAATCTTGTTTCGGCCATTTTTTTTCTTTCTATACAATAAAAATAAAATGGAACATTAGTAAGATTTTTACAAACATTTTGTTTATTTTAATGAAGCTGGTACAGACAATGTCCATTTAAAACCCAAATCCCAGGCCAAAAAGTACAAATAAAATCAAAAAGAGCAGTGTTCTGTTGCACACACTTCTGCATGAATAACTTTATTAACTGCTAATGAAAATTAAAACTTTTCTGGGATCTTCTGACAAGATTTTCCTTTACTCTTAAAATGCTTTCTCTTCAGTGAAGCCATCTTTGGAGTTAGTCTTTACTCTCACCTCATCTGTCATCTTGACTCCAAACTGATATTCCTCTTTCTTTTGGTC